AGGATATGCTTAAACATATAATTTTTTAACATGAAAAAGTTACCCTTTTGTAAAATAAAATAGCTTCAGATATATATACTTAATATATTTTTTTCATTTGTTATTTACTACATCCTTCTCTATGAGTATAAGGAGCTATTTTAACTACTATAGCTTCTAAGTAGTAGATTATTCTTTTTGTAAAATTTAACTCAATATATTTTAATGTTTATGAAGAGGGAACATTATTGATATATTCAGTAAATCCTGCTCCAAGTTCCCCTGCACAAGATAATTATTTGTTAAGCAAACAGCACAGTGCCCTGCACATAGTAGTTATTCAACAAATGATTTCCTTTCTCACGACCAAATACAATTGTCATTCAGTGAAATGGGGCTCTAATAAGAAAAGCAAGACTGTTAACATTCACACTTAATTTTAAACATTCACTTTTAAAAGAAAAAGGCACTATTAAAGTTATTAGGATTTTATAACAATACCAGAGGCCTGGTACATGTAATTTGTGTGTGGGGGGGGTGGGTGGTCCTTAGCCCGGCCTGTACTCTCTCACAGTCCCGGAACCCTCAGGGATGTCCAACTGATGGCTTAGGCCTACTCCCCATGGACATCCTTAGCGCTGCCATGGAGGTGGGAGAGGCTCCTGCCACTGTTGCTGCACTCACCAGCCGTGAGCCCGGCTTCTGGCTGACAGCAAGAATAGGGCTTCGCTCCCATCTCTGCCGCTGCTACCCCTCCTGTCTCTGCCGCTGCTACCCCGCCCATCTCTGTCGCTTCTCTCCCACTCATCTCTGTCGCTTCTCTCCCACCCATCTCTGCTACCTCGTCTCCACACAGACACTGGGGCAGTGGGGGCTTGCCCTCAGAGGTAGGAGTGCTTGGGGAGGGCGGGTGTTAATCAGGGAAAAAGGAGACATGTAATACTTTAAACAATAAAAGTACTTGGATTTTGTTTTATTTTTTTTTAAAAGATGAACTTTTTTAAGTTTATCTTTCCTACAACCAACATTTTTGAGCCTGACATTAAATTAAGACATAGTTCCCAGGTGGGCTCCACATTTTGCTTGGAATAAAGTACCATCTAGCCTACTCCCTAACCTGCCATTTTTTTTTTTGCATGTATACTTTCAGATAGTAGAGAAGTAAGTTTTATAACAGGACACAAAAGTGATATGGACTTTAGTATCAATAACCACTAGAAGCTATGAGTATTGCAATATAATTTTAATAGCATAACTTTTAATCACACACTGTAGAACTATGAATGTTTCACTAGCATAATATGCTACAATTTCTATTATGTACCACAGACTTGAATATTATAAACATGTTTATACTCTTAAAATAAAATATTAGATACTCAAGAATTTTCTTACTACATGTAACTTTTTATATGTGCCTTCATTATTTGTATAAATTGTTGCAACTTTCCAAAATTTCAGGCACATCCACAGTCAAACATGAGATACAAAATGTATTCTAAATTCAAGTGAGTAAAACTTTTCAGCATACCTGAGCATTGTTCACACTATATATCCCAAAATAAAGATATAGATACATTTATGCAATATATTTTCATATGTAGGAATATTACAAATTGGTTTTAAGTTCTAAATATAGAGTTATAATTTAAAAGAAATTATTTGTATTAAAATTCTTTTAGAGTTAAGTATAAGTTTCTGTTGGATTGAGAGATGAAATCAGAGACAAAGATACATTGATAAACAAGATTCCCTCAGACCTTCCCTTAAGGAATTTAAAAATTAATGGATAACTCAGAAAAGTAAAAATACAGTGAAAGCCTTAAAGTGGATAACAGGGTTCTATGAGAACTCATAGGAGATACTCAAATGCCTAATTAATAAATACGTCAACTTTCATCTGCATATTCAGTACATTTCTCACTTCTGAACATACTACTACTTGATAAAAAATTACTTCAAGTATACTTAAGACTTACATATTATTTTTCATAAGTGTATGGTTTAAATTATTATTTTTGAGGGTAAGCAGAGATGCAGAAAAGAATGCAAAAGGAAAATTAAAATAATGCATTTAGCTACTTGTCTGTCTTTTGTTTGGTACAATTAAAATACTTTAACAGTTATTGCGTTACTATTCTTTGCCAGACAATGTGATGAAAACATTCCTTCCCTCATTTAATCCTCTCAACCCTATTAAAGTACTTTCCACAAATTCTAATTTATGCTTCCCATCACCTTTTATCCCCTCTATCCCTCTATCACCCACTCCCATCCCCCTCCACTCCCGCCATTGCTCAGCTTTTAGATGTGGAAACCAGGGCTTACAGTGGTCAAAGAACTTGCCCAAAGTCAAAGCCAGAAGCTAACTAAGCTTTTAACAGCTGCAGATAGGCCTGACAATGTGAGGGGAAAGCAGAAAGCACAGAACAGTGAGTTGGGGACATTGGTGGAGAGTAGGGGGAGACAGGCAAGTTCAGTTTTACACTTCTAAACTATTTGTTCCCACAGATCGTTGAAGAGCCTGGCTCTGTAAAACATTCTGCACACATAAGACTCTGCAAATCCTTCTAGCACCAGAACAT